AGGAGGGATGGAACAGGACAGCAGGAGATTTCATCATGCTACTCAGAATGGTGCACAATTTAAAACTTATGAATTATTATATTTTTAAATATGTGTTTTTTTAGTTATTGATGGACCTTTATTTTATTCATTTATTTTTATGTGATGGTGTGAATTGAACCCAGTGACTCATACATGCAAGACGAGCCCTCTACCACAGGGCTACAACCTCAGCCCCAAACTTATGAATTATTTATCTCCAAAATTTTTCATGTAATATTTTCATACCACAGATGAATAGGTAACTGAATGAACAGAAAGCAAAACCACAAGGAAGGACTACTATACAGTCAAATTTATATTGTAGGCCAGCTTCCTCATGTTAAAAATTCTTCAAAGACCTCCAATTACATATGGATTTGGAATAAAAATTTTATCCTAAAATTCAGCCTATTTATACTACTGTCCAGTTCCATACTTATTCTCAAATTCAAGATATTTCTCCTTGTCCTGAAAGTAGACTTAATTTTTATGTTATATTGCTTTTGTTCACATATCAACTGAAATGTTCTTTCCAGTGTTCCCCTCATTTAGAGCTATCTGAACTCTTGTCATTTCTTCAAACCTATCCAAATGTCCCATCCTTTAGTGATGTTTCCATTCATTGAACTATTGAAATTCTTATTTTTAATACAGATTAATTTAGGGCATGCATTTTATTGATTTGTCACATTGTGTATGCAAGTTATTTCTATACATGTCTCGTCACCACAAATAAATTTTCCTAGGGTAAAACTATCTTATACCACTCAATGTCTGTCACTGAATACCTTACATATACTATCTAGGTTTAACATAATTTTAAATGGTGATGTGGACAGTTTTAATTTATAAATTTTGATTTGTTTTAGAAAAACTTTATACTGCTAGACATGTGTGCATACATATGTAAATATGCATACATATGTAAATATATATTTATTATATATACTATTCTTTAGGTATTCATATTTGTATCTAAATGTAAAGTTAATAGATTCTTTTTTAAAAGACTAAATAATTAAGAAATTTAAGGTGGGGCTAGGGATGTGGCTCAAGCTATAGCGCGCTCCCCTGGCATGCGTGCGGCCGGGGTTCGATAGTCAGCACCACATACAAACAAAAGATGTTGTGTCCGCCGAAAACTAAAAAAAAAATATATTAAAAAAAAAAGAAATTTAAGGTGGACATGGTGGCACACACCTATTATCCCAGCGTCTCAGGAGGCTGAGACAGAAGGATCATGAGTTCAAAGCCATCCTCAGCAATTTAGTAAGGCCTTAAGCAACTCAGTGAGAGCCTATCTAAATAAAATAAAAAGGGCTGGGAATGTGGCTCAGTGGTTGAGTGCCCCTGGATTCACTCCCCAGTACCAAAAAAAAGTTAAGATTTATAACATGAATATTATTTACCAGTTTATCATTTTCCAAAGAAACATGAAGCCTAATGTCTACTTTCATAATAGGAATTTTGTTTATCCTACTGTAACTTTCCTATAGAACTATTTTTTAAGTAAAATCTATTTGGATCAATAGTTTCATTTCAGCTGATGTGAACTTATCTAAGGAGCCAGCCAAATATAAGACTGACACCGTTAAGATTTATCTCACAGTTATTTTATGGAAATGTCTTAGAATCCTCCCCAAATGGAAAAAAAAGAACTACACTGTGAACAAAATGATTTAAATAGTTCTAAAAGTTGAACAGAATAGAATTTGCATAATGAAATTAAAATTTATAAACAATGAAATTAAATAGTAATGACTTTGAAGCGTAAGTTTATTTTGGAAATGCAAAAGGAAAAATAGACTCAAGTAAATAACAAACTATTGGCCTTTGAACAACTCAGCTGTAGTTACAAGCATGCCTTTCAAATGAGATGTTAACTGGCTTGAGACTCCTATGTTCATTTAGAATAGGGATTCCTAGACTGCAGTCCTTAGATGGACTTTAGGTGTTTAATTTCCATTTTAAAAGTACATAGGGGGCTAGGGCTGTGGCTCAGTGGTAGAGTGCTCCCCTGGCATGTGTGAGGCACTGGGTTTAGTCCTCAGTACCACATAAAAATAAAATAAAGGTATTGTGTCCACCTACAACTAAAAATATACATTTAAAAAAAGTGCACAGGAAAGCTATGGGGGTAACTCGGTGTTAGATTGCTTGCCTAGAATGTGAGAGGTCCTGGGTTTGATCCCCAGCAGTGAAAAACAAAATCTTTTTAAGTGCTGCATTATTTTGATATATTGAATGTCTTTATTTTTTCTTCTTTTCTAACTATTTCCTTCTTTGATTAATACCTCTACATTCCTCACCTCTTCCTTATATAACATGAGTTTTATACCCTTCAACCATCTGAGTCCTAATTTTCTCTGTCCAGATAAATTCTACTTTGTCAGTATGCAACATAAAATGTAACTTTCAAAATTGGACACTTTTTTAATGAACCATGTAATCAGGTAAAATATACCAAGTTGCAACCTTCCTTTTACCAGAAACTGTATTTGTATTAATATAGACTAAATATGAGTGCTCATGATTTCTTTTGACTGTGAGAGACCATGTAAACAAATCAATGTGTTCACATGCATGTGTGCGCACACACACATTCATAGCTGTGAGTTCTAGTTGCTAGTGTACTATGTGGTCTGGAGATCTCTCTGTATCATTCTTCTAAAATTTTATTAAAAATTTTTAAAAAACTACTTATTGAACAAATACAATATCCTTCAACGGATCTCATGTTCTGTTATATTTTTGTGTTTCACTATTACATAGAATGGAGTTCGGATGATTGCCAGCTTCCTTATTCAAGACAATTATAATCTAATCCCATGCCTTTTTTTGTTTGTCTTGATGTTCACCTTGATAGTTCTTCCTCTACAGGGAAATCTCAGGCTTGAAACTAAAGCCTCCTTTCCACATAAAACCAATAGAGTTGGCTTATTTCAGGCTATATGTTTCTAGTTTTCAGGATTGGGTTTAAAACTCTTTGTGTATGTGCTTACTCCTGTGTATTTGATTGATTTTGGAGAATTTTGGTTAGATTAGATATTTAATTCTCAAAACACATGTTCCATAAAAAAGGAAATAGTCAACAGTATATTTTTATGATGATTACATAGGCAAACATTAAGGTTACCTTATAACTAAATAGCATCAAATGATATTAAAATTACATATAATAACATAATTATATCCTACTTAATGGATTATATTTGTGTTTTTTTAATAGGTGAGAATTAATTTTATACCTCTTAAATAGCGATTTGGGTATGAATAAAGACTATTAAGTAGTCCTTAATTGACATTTCTTCATCTTTAAATCACTTCAATTAAAATTGAACACAGAAATGATYTGAAAATACTGTTATTCTTTTACACTGAGAAATTTTGGAAACAAACCCCACTCAATTTTTGCTAAGCTGATTGATTAAACATACAGTCAACTCTCGATTATTCAAATTAATGGAGGAAAGGATGGAACAAGCATTAATAGTTCTCTCATCCCTGCCCCCTCAGACAATTGCTGACAGCTCATTCTAGACAAAATTTGACTTTCTGTCTTGATCATATGACATTTTCAAGCCCTTGTATCCAGGATTCAGTGAAATATGACCTACAATTTAGTTAATAGGAAAGTTTCGTGTTATTATACTATTATCTTCTTTTATGTAGATTCTTAAAATCAGGACCTTAGCTTTGCCTTTGTACTATTAAAATTCACATGAAAAGTTGGTAACATTGCTATTAAGGTATTATTCTGAAGGATCATAAAATTAGTTTTATATAAAAAGTCATCCTGGAATTACAGTTTACAGATAATTATAACTTTTTAAAAGCATTACCTCATGGTATCAACTTGCTTTAAAAATTTTTTAATATAAAAATTTTATGAGAAAGCTTTTGTCTTTGAGTCTTTTATAGAATATATTCCAGCTTTTTAAATTCTAATGAGTGCAATATTTCTGAGTACTATGTGTTTGTAAAATGAAGAAATGCTGAAAGAATTTATGTGTGAAAATAGTATGTTGCGTGTATGTAATACGTCATCTTCTCTACCAATTAACTGCACACATTGTGCTAGTATCCAGACATAAGCATTCATAGAAATGCATGGCTCTGGGTAACTACAAGTTGAAATAAACACACCTGCATTTTATTTCAATACTGCACATTCAAATCCACCTAATACATTTATTTGAATGTGACTTCCATATATGTGAAAGAACAGTGGTTTTAGCATTTGATTTTTTGTGATGTTTTGTTGGTGGTGATTAAATCTAAAGTAGATGCAAAGTTGTGGGTAATGCTTCTCTGGAAAACTTTGCATGCAGAGAAAAGGAAATTCAAAGATAAATCCTATGAAAACTTTCAAATTGTTTTTGCCTCAATGTGCATTGTAGTCGGATTCTTATAAAATATAGTGATGCTTAAAGCCAAACTAGTAAAACCCATTAACCAGCCTGGAGTATGGCCTACTTTACTTAAAGTTCAGTAATTTAATTATTTTTCTTTCTAGACTAAAAATTATTAAGTCCTTCATTTTGAGAATATTATTTTTTTCTCAAGAAACTGTTTCCTTGAAAGTGGACTAAGATTTAAGAAATCATGGTTTCTATTAGGCAGGGGAAGTATTAGTTACAAGTCTTATTTTATAGTCTATGTGATGGTTTCTTTCATATGCTGTCCCAAATTAGGCCATATTTCTGTATAGTTAGTTTTACCTGACATGAGCCAGAAAATTAAATTAATATTTCTTTAGGAATCTTAACTTTGAATTTCCTACTTTTCATTGCATGTAAACTATCAGTCACAAATAATAGTTTCAGTTCAGGTTCTAGCTTGTATTTTGCATGATAAAGCTATATAAAAAGCCTAGTAATGCTGGGAAAATTTATAGCTATGGTTCCGCTATTGCCTAATTGTCAAAATTTATAAATAAGGGGTGATTTTATTTATGTAGACTTGTCTTTCTGCCTTAGGGAGTGAACTACTTTATGTCCAAGGGTATCCTAGATGACTCGCCAAAGGAAATAGCAAAGTTTATCTTCTGTACAAGAACACTGAACTGGAAAAAGCTGAGAATCTATCTTGATGAAAGGTAAAAAAAAAAAAAAAAAAAAGAAGAAGAAGAAGAAGTTTTAGTTTTCATAAGAAATGAGTTAAGTGAGGCTTTACTTTAAAAACTATACTAGATAGCAATCAGCAATTACTGTATCTTATATATCCTTTGTTTTGTGAGTTTTAGCTTGCTAATGAAGAAGTTGCCATTATAAAAGTAAAAATAAGTCCATGCACAAAAACAAAATGATAGCCCAACATTTTTCTTATAACAAACCAAAATCAATATTTTTGTGGAAGCTGCAGCAGCCCTTTTTCTGAATAACTAGCTATAATCTTAAGTGTTAAAATAACTGAAAGTTTTGAATTCTGAAATTGTTCATATATATGAAAATAAATTATCAAAACTTAGAGATATAAGGATATGTGTGTGCATAGCAGTACTACACAGAAGTACCATGTGCATGTTTGAAAATATGACATTTAGTAGTGTCTTCTACACACATTGAGATAATTAATATGTTGTTCTGATTTAATAGTCATTCATTTATACTCTATTATTCTACTAATTAATTTTACTAATTAATTTTTTAATTCAATTAAAAAATTGAAGCTGGGTGTCGTGGTGCACACCTGTAATCCCAGTGGCTCAGGAGGCTGAGGGAGGAGAACTGCATGTTTGAAGCCAGCTTTAGCAATTTAGTGAGGCTATATGCAACCTATTGAGACCCTGTCTCAAAATTTGAAAATAACAAGGGCTGGGAATGTGGCTCAGTGGCTCAGTGTTCCTGTGTCTCTAGGTTCAGTCCCTGATTACTAAAAAAAAAAAAAAAAAAAAAAAAAAAAGATTATGGGAAAACATTTTGATGCCACACAAACTCTCATTTTAAAAATTATAGGTCTGATACTAAACTAACCTATGGCACACAAAAAAAATGCATGCCTTTCAATCTTTTTTTTCCTCAGGATTTTTCAGTACCAATTTATAAATTTATAAATGTTTACTTTGTTTTAGAAACTTTGCTAAAAAATAGGGTATATAGTCATTACAAGAAGTCTCTTATGTAAAAATATTCTCATTGACTCTTCTTGTCTTTAAATGTCAGGCTCTTGAATTGGCAGTTTTCAGTAAAGAAACAGATCTGCAATTGTGTTGTGAAAATAGACATATAATCTATAAACAAAGTACTGTGGTTGTGTTTTAATACAGCTGTTTACAAATCAGGCAGTGGGCCAGATTTAGCTCAGTATCTATAGTTTGCCTGTCCCTGCCATAAGCAATTGGTAGAAGTTGAAGGTTATGATTACATAATTGTTGTTAAGTTCAATAATCATTGAAGGATATTGTAACAAAGTGAGACTAGACATTAGAATGCTATTGATTAAACATTCATAACATACATATTCAAATATTTATATAATTGTAAATAACCTGAATGTTTACATCAATAGGATATATAAAATAGGATTGTAAGATGGATACATCAATAGGATTGTAATGGCTACTTTGCTGCCATGAAAAACAGTGAGATGAATCTATATGTGGAGTTAAAGAAAGCTGTTAACAATAAACTGTGTGAAAAAAGCAAAAGCAAATTCTAAAGCAATATATAGCATATGTAGGCAATTTAAAATCTCTACATAGTTGTTGCCTCTGAAAGTGTAGCTTGGGATGGTAGGTGAAGATTGTCTTTACTCTCATAATTTAAAAAATAAAGACTTAGCCAAGAAGACACTGCAAAAAAATTTCTTTATTTTATAAGCAGCATTACTTCTGGTATTGTCTTTTGTTTTGTTGTAACCTATTTATGAAAGAGTTCAAAATTGTTTAACTTCATTAGATAATCATACTTAATGTTTTAAAGTTTTAAGAATAATATCTACTTTTGAGCCAGGTGTGGTGGAACACTCCTGTAATCCCAGCAGCTCGGGCAGCTGAGAAAGGAGGATTGCAAGTTCAAAGCCAGCCTCAGAAACTTAGTGAGATCCTAAGCAATTTAGTGAGACCTTGTCTCAAAATAAAAAAAAAAAAAGAACTGGGGATGGATCAGTGGTTAAGCACCTCTGGGTTCAAAAAAAGAAGAATATACACTCTTATAGGATTAACTGAGTAATAATTCATTATTTTTGTCCAAAAATTACAAATTACACTTTATAATTTTTATTATTAGCATTTTTTAATAAAGTTAACTAAAGCTGTACCTATTTTTTTTCTATAGGAGAGATGTCTTGGATGACCTTGTAACACTGCATAATTTTAGAAATCAGTTCTTGCCAAATGCACTGAGAGAATTTTTTCGTCATATCCATGCCCCTGAAGAGCGTGGAGAATATCTTGAAACTCTTATAACAAAGTTCTCACATAGGTTCTGTGCTTGTAATCCTGATTTAATGCGGGAACTTGGCCTTAGTCCTGGTAAGAATATATATATATAGTACATTACTTCCTCCCTCCTCCCTGGCCACCTCCAGGTAAAAAGAGTCCAATATGACACGTTTTTCTCACTGTGGGGAAAAATGACTCCATYAACTAAAAATATTTATTTTTTTTTATTTTATCAGTAACTGCATCTATGGAATATATCATTTATGTAAACATAGAGGACTCCTTTAGTTAGTCATAGACATCATTTATACTTAGTAAATTTACTGACTTAGAACAAAAGTTAGATTTAGCTACAGATATTCTTTAAAATTATTCTTGTTTGAATGTTCAATAGTTTTACCAATGTAATTGAATACTTGAGAAATTATTTTAAAGCTTTTAATAATCCACATATTGCATAGGTAATATTTTTCTACTAAATTTTTTTGGGTTTTTTTGCTTTTAAAAAATTAATTTACTTATTGTAGTTATACATGACAGCAGAATGCATTTTGATTCATAGTACACAAATAGAGCACAATTTTTCAGTTCTCTGGTTGTACTCCACAGCATTCATGACTTCATATGTGTACCTAGGATAATGATGTACATCTCATTCCACCATATTTCCTACCTACCAAAAGCACTATACAGATGTGATGTAATGTAATGTAATCCAATCAAAATCCTAATGACATTCCTCATAGAAATAGAAAAGCAATCGTAGGCCCTGGATTCAGTCAGTTGTGGGGTTGGGAGGAAATGCTTACTGAATTTACATTCAGACTGGAGGATAACTGTCCTGGTTTGCCCAGTCCTGAGGAATTTCCCAGGTCTTTTAGTGCTGAACTGGAAAAAGAGCAAAACTAGGCAAACTGGGAGGAGTTGGTCATCCTGTTTAGTTGTATACTAATCTTGAGCTCTTAAAATTATGAACATTTTCCCTTATGTAAAACCTTTGGGATAATATTTTTTATACTAGCAAATAATTCAAAGTGTTTCTTTTTCCTTACAGACGCTGTTTATGTACTGTGCTACTCTTTGATTCTACTTTCCATTGACCTCACTAGCCCTCATGTGAAGAATAAGATGTCAAAAAGAGAATTTATTAGAAATACTCGTCGTGCTGCTCAAAACATTAGTGAAGATTTTGTAGGGCACCTTTATGACAACATCTACCTTATTGGCCATGTGGCTGCATAAAAGCACAATTACTAGGACTTCAACTTTCTACTTCAGACTAAAAGCTACCGAAGGACTTATTTAGCAAATATGGGGGTTTCATCAGTGCTGGCCCTTCTAGCCTCTGTATACAATCAAGCTTGAGTATACAACCTCTTTTTCTTTCACTATCTTCTTTTTTAGTAATTTCCTTGGAGAACTAAGTAACTTTGGAGAATTTTTCTTAATTTTGCTTATCATGTTTTGCACAAAGCACAGCCATTGTCTAACACAACTGTTGAAAGAATGTTAAACTGACACACATTATACTCTATAAGATGGTGTATTTGTGCAGTAGATTTGCCTGAAAAACTTTATCCATTCTTTTTTAAGATTCCACATAATGTGTACATATTTAACTAAAGAGATTTATAATCATAATTATTTTATTGTAAAGATTTTAACTAAAGTTTTTTTCCTTTTCTCTCAAACTGGGTTCTGAAATTTATTTGGTTCTTATCTGAGAATATTGTTGTCTTTGTAAAAGTAGGATCTGACGTCAAATGGAAACCAATACCAGCTATCCTTGTCTTTGGACTTCCAAGAGTGTTGGTTTGTTACTATATTACTATGCAAAACTCATACTTACTTGTATAATATAAATTTAACATTTGATTCTTCATTTTTAAAACTTCTGAGTTAGTCAGTTCTCAGTAAGTCCTTTAAACCACTTAAGTTTTAAAAATGTGTCTGAATTTAACATTTACACTTATCAGAACAGAATACATGTTATTAGAACTCTAATAAATCTCTGCTTACTTATAGCTGAACTAATCACACTTTACTCCTTTCCTAATCTTGATAATCTCTGTTCAAAATTCATTGAGAAAGGGATATTGTGACGATGGTATATAGTCTTTGTTCATTCATTTAGTAAATATTCATCAAGGGACTTCCATGTGCTAAGCACTGTACTAGGTATTAGTAATACCTAGACATCAGCTCTGCATTCACAGGAGTTACATAATTGGATAAACCCTACTAAATGGAGAGCAGATGTATTCAGTGTGTCTTAATTAATAATTATTTAGTGGTTAAAGAGTGTTGGATTTACACAGCATTGGATTGATAGAGAATATTGTATTTATATAGTAAGTTAAACAACAAAAGGTTTGGAGTGACAGAATATGATGGTAGAGCTGCTAGCTTGAGGTAAGGGAGTTGGAGTAGAGACTTCTTATTAGAAGTGTAGAATCCTGGCTTCCTTTCATATATGACCCTAAATCCATAGAGATTTTTAATATTACAGCTGTAGTAGTATACTATAGATTTTTAAAGGACAAAAATAAGGTAATCAAATCATTTTTAATGTCAGAAGAACTTTTAAACTGATACAAAACAATGTCTAGATTCTGAATAAAATAAGTAATGTTTACATGTATATAATTTTGAATTCCATTACAAAATAATTCTAATTTGTAAAGTTCAAACTAATTTATTAAGCTTCAAAAGACAAAGAACAGTGGTAATGTATTTTATTTTTGTTTCTATGTTCCAGTGCGTGGCACATAGACCTCACTGTCTACTCCTTCCCCCACCCCATCCCTCTTAATTGTCATCTTTTTAAATTTCACTCTCTCTTTTCTTTTTTAATAGCTCCTACTTCCCAATTTTTCCCCTTTTATCAGCCTTATTTTCTACTATGGTCTGATTATAAATGTGGATTAGCAATACCTTTTTCAACATTTTCTTATGGAAATGTTCAAACATATAGAAACATATTTTACAGAGAATGCCTATATACATGCCACCTGGATTCTACAATTTAAATTTTACTATATTTATTTTATTGCATATTTATCTATCCCTCTTTCCATTAGTGAATCCATTTTATTAGTTTGGTACAGGTTAAAATAAGTTTCAAACATCAATATACTTCATTTCTAAAGACTTAAGCTTGCATATCTTTAATTAAAAGTCTATTTTTTTTTAGCTTTTTTCCTTTGAGGTAAAACTTACATTCAGTGAAATGCAGATATATCATGCATACTGATCAATGAAACCTCACTAAAACATGTACCTGTGCAAACCAAACCAATGTGACCATAGAGACCCATTTATGCCGTCCTCCCATCCACTACCTTATTCTTGTCATATATAACATACAGTATGTTATATGTTATAATTTTTCTTGAACAAGCATATACACTTTAAATAAATTTTTTAAAAATACTCTTTAATACTTACCCAGATTATCATTTCTGATACTCATTCTTTTCTGATGACCCAAGTTTTCTTGCAATATCATTCCTTTCAAAATGAGAAACTGTCTGATTTCTATTTCAGTTCATGTCTGCTGAAAAATTATCATAGTGTTCTTTTATCTGAAAATGTCTGATTTTTTTATGAAGAGTTTTTGGCTGAATATTTCTGGGTTGACATTTTTCCCCTTTAAAGATATTATTTCATTATGTTCTGACCTCTTATTTCTGATAAGAAGGCAGTAGTGTTCAAATTGTTTTTGCTGTTGTACGATATTATTTTCCTCTGAGTGTTTTATTTCATGCAATATTTTTTTTAGCTTCATATAGTCTCAGGTTTTTGAGGCTCTATAGATTTTTTTCCAATCTTTTATTCCCCATGTAGTTTTTTTCTCTTTATCTGTATTCCAGTTTACTAATTTTTATATACTTGTTCGCTTTTTAAGCCTCCAATAAACATTTTTCTTTAAATTGCTACACTTTTTCAGTTCTATAAATTCCCTTTAGCTTTTGTAACTTATAATTGCCTTCAGCTTTTATGACTTCTATCTCGCTGCCAAGATTTCTTTTTTCATTCATTACAAGCACATTTTCCCTTACATCCTTGAGCATAGTTAGAAAAGCTGCTTTAAAATACTTGTCTGTTTATTCCAATATCCTGGATCATATCAGTGCTAGTATTCTTTGGTTTCCTTTTCTTTTGAGAATGTGTTTACATTTTTCTGTTTCTTTATGCTGAATAACTTAGACTATGTTCTGGACATGGTAAATAAGATGTAATAGAAGCCCTGGGTTCTGATTTGTTTCCCCAGATCCTTTTTTTCCCCCAAACAAATAGGCAGTTAACTTGACTAAACTTCCAGCTGTAAACTGTGGCTCCCCTATAGTTGAAGGCAGGTCAAATTTCAGTTCATTTCTTTAATAAGGCAGCTCTATTTAGAGTCTGTTCTGTGCCTGCATGCTTCAGGGATCAGCCAGAATTGGGGGCAAAGTCCATACTTAGGATCTGAGACTCTCACTGGTTCTTTCCTTGCCAGGCTTTCCCTCTGCATTTTCCAGCAACAGCCATTACCCCAAACCCTAGCCTGTGGTTCTTCACATCAATAAAACTATAGGTTCCACAAGATGCAGAGTAGGACTGCCTTTGGGCTAATTATCAAAATGGGAAGCTCACCCAATGCTGTGTTCTCTGCTACCCAAAATGATATTCTCTGTAGGATCAGCTTGCTTTGGGTTGCTTTCTACTACTTTCAAGTCATTGAATTTTATATTTTGCCCTGAGTTGGTAGTTTTATCTGTTGGAAGGTTGAAAGAGCTATTTGGCTATCACTTAAAGTTAAACCCTCTCTAATTGAGTAGTATTCCTTTTATGGTTAATGATTAGGGATTCATTCCTCATTCTTTTTAAAATAGGTGATTAAAAATTTTTAACATGATCCATCTATGAAGACCCTTAATAATAAAAAACACGTACTAAATTAAGCATTCAGTGTTTCCCTGTATGGGTTCTATTATTTTTGAAGGAAGGTTAGTCTTCATCATGCGAAGAATTTTGTATTATATATAATGTCACATACAGTATGGGGCATAACCATGCTTGGATCTTGCCTACTAGATGCCACTAGTCTCCCCCAATCATTATGATATACAAATAATGTTCCTATATATTCAGGTATCTGCTGGGGAACAAATTACCTATAAGTGAGAACTGCATCTTCTTTCAGATTTAACATTTATATCTTTCTAAAACACAAATCATCTTGATGACACTTCAAAGTCCCCTTTTGCCCTGAAAAACTAGGTGTAACCTCCTTAAGACTTTTCACAATCATTTAAGACTTTTCACAATCAGGCCTCAGCTTATCTTTAAAGCTGCATCTCTAATAACATTCCTCAAGTATGGTTTGATCTTCCTTTGCCTTTTATAAGCTCTCTTTCTCTGATACATTTTTCTTACCTATGTATATAGTGTTCCTCTGCTAATCATCTGAGAGTCACCTCAAATATAATTTCTTTTTCAAAGCTCTCAAACTGTTTTACACACCACTAATGTTAATTGCTTCTTCCTCTGTAAACTGTGGTGCTTTGTATATATCTTTATTATAGTAGTTATACTATTATTTTCTACATGTCCAACTTTTTCATCAAACATGATCTTAAGATTAGACTGCTCCCAACCACTCAGGTTCTCTTTCAAAATCTGAATTAGAAAAGTGGCAGAGGATGTTAGAGAGAAGTAATAAGTTTGGAAATTGATAGGAGTGGTGATTTTAGAAAAAGATTTGTAATCTGACTGCCTGGTTGTTCTGTTATGAATGGTAGCTCCTAGGAGAAGCAACAGGTGGAGTAAAATGGAAAAGATTTTCCCAATTTTTGCATATTTTTAACTTCAAAGAATGAATAGAGCTTTCATTGCAGCCAGAAATAGGACTAGGGTTAAAAGTAAATAGAGCTGGATATTTAAGTTGTAGTCCACATTACTATTTAAAGCATATCAAGTGATACATGGAAAAGATAACGTCTCTTGAAGTATGGAGTATAAAAAGAAATAATTGGTAATATATTATTTTAGGTTTGGGTAGAGAAAAAATAGGAGTCAGAAAAGAGGGTTCATCAAAGCACTAAAGAAGAACAGTATCCCAATGACTAAAGAAAGAAATTGTCAAGAAGGGTGCTGATCTTTACTTTTACTGCAGCCCAAGGAAGTTTTTTCCCATCTATACTCAGCCTTCTTGAGTCTATCTTGCCACCTGGGACTAAATTCTTTAAGGCTAGAAAATCATCATACTGCTAATGGCTTTTATATGGTTCTTGGGCAAATATTCCCTTACCCGATGTGTAATCTGAGCTCTGCGGAAACCCACAAAAGTGCTTAGGCCTGTCTACACCTTCCTTCCCCAATAAGGGTTGTGTTGTTTCAAGCCCAGAATGCACTATGCCAATTGGGTATTTCTGGTGAATACTTCCCACACAGTCACTGGGTATGTTTTCTAAGATACAGATCATATTTTGAAAGAGAAAAGGAGAGAAAGGGAAAGGAAGGAAGGAGAAAGGGGAAGGAAAGGGTGAAAAAAAGGAAAGAAAAGAATACAGAAGGAAAGAAAAAGGAGAAAAAGGAGGAGAGGGCAGAGAAGAAGAAGAAAAAAAAAAACAATACTTGAATCATTTAGAGCCTCCTCCAAATTTGTCATCAGGATTTTTCCAGAATTTACCCTGGTGAAACTAACACTGTAATYACAATGAATGCTGTATTTTCACCTTTTTACTCTGTTTGGGAAACTGTTAAATCCTCCTTCATATTTACCTGTTGAAATGCTATTTGTCCTTCAATGTTCCCAGATTCTGTTCCCTCCAGGACAGCTTTCTCAATTTTTGCAGATGGAAATTTAATTCTTATGTCTCATTCAGTTCCTAACATAGACATTTCCCCAGAGCAGTTTCTTGATTTATTTTAGCTCTGGTTCAGTTCCTGTATAAGCATATAGAAAGATGGTTTTACTAGTTCCACTTTACAAAACACATTAAGATTTTTCAGGTGTACACAATTTATAAGTCGTTCACTTTAAAAATTTTTTTAAGACAGATTCAACCTGTGTGTTATTCTAAACATAAATTCATCTCTCTAGTACCTCCAATTTTAAATATCTGGATAAATCACTGTTTCTTTAAGATTGTCTCCCTTTTTTAACTTCAAGAATTTAAGTCTTTGATCTTGTTAATTTTCGTAATTATTCTTTCCAATTTTTGGCAATATTATGAATATCAATGAATACAGAGCTAATGAAAGTTGACTTGCTCAGTTGTAATATTTAAAATAACAACCTATTTATTCTAATTGGAGCTTGTTTTCCACTGCCTAAAGTGGTTTTTTGCTTAAATATCCTTATTAATACAACTACCTACRGTTTCTTTTCAAGCATTCATAAATAAATTGAGCCTCTTTTAGGGAGCCATCTTAAGAAAATAATAAAAATAGGGAAAAGGGAGTGTGTATGCCCCTTATCACATTCTTATATTTTTAAAGGAAAAAAATAGATGGAAACACCTGGAATCCCCCAAATTGGGAAATAACATTTGTAAGAAATAACATATAATTGACTATATACMCA